AACCTTCTGCCCATATGACATGTCACAGCAACCAGAGGTAGAACCACAAAAGTTGGTTTTAATGTCAGGCTGTATATTTATATAGGTAAAACAGTCCACCTTCCTATCTCTGAAATATTGTTCTTATCTATATTAGACTTGAAACACCTAAGACAGACGGTTGGGATGTATTTCACCAATCTTTTACTGTTGTAAATAAATTTACAGATAAATGTCCTATAGTACTATGAAACACTACAGTATTTAAGCAATCAACTCCTAGACTTTAAATATGTAAATCAAGTTTTGCTGGTTCCTCTGGTATAAATGCAGGTAGACAACCTGAGTTTCCCAAAGGGTTCTAAAGCCCCATTCACCTACAACGTGGCTGGTTTCATTGTTTCTCAAGGCTGGTCACTGGTCCAGTCTAAGTCACTTCTTTTGTTCAAGTCCAGGGTCGAAAACCTTTCTGTCACTGTGTAAACCTGGAGAAAATCACCATCTTCCTTCTACATGACTAAAAGTACTAAAAAGTACTGAAAGTAAGATGGATGTTAGTCTTTTAGTAATGAAAGATTTTCTTTTGTAAAATACCCCATCGATCAGAAAGTAAGATTTCAAAAATGTCTTAGACAAAGAAGGTCACAGTTTTGATGGCTCTATCACCTCCTACTTATCTGTAATAATTTTCTGAGAAAGACACCAAATAGAAGGTTCCTGTAGCATTTCATTGGTGCTATCCGGAGTGTTTTAGTTAGGTAGCGAATTCTGGGTTATTGCCGGTTACCCTGGTGTGCCATTGCCTGTCGTTACCCGTTGGGGTTACGGTGATCTGACCTTGGAGTCCCCTCCCCCGGTGCCGCACTCTCCCTTGTCATACCACCATCTGTTTTTCAATTTGTCCAACAGGCCCTGCTCGTTCAGTTTTAACACTGCCAAGTTAACAGGGTTTCTACGGGGATGATAGTAACAATAAGGGATAAAAGGGAACCTGGTGTTAATGAACAGACGACTGCCACAGTGAAGATAGCAACATTAATACACATGTGTACCTATGACAGGCATGATATTATTAATGATGGTACATAAAAACAACAGATTCACTGCTATTCAGCCCAGACCTTGTAACATGCTGTTTCCTGCATCTTCCTCCTGCATTGTGAACATTACAATGCAAGTAGACCAAATACTTACAGTTAGAGAAAAATGCCATCATTTTTGTTTTTATCAAATTTTCTGAACTGCGAAAATCTTCAGGTAATGCACACTAGTGACTGTCTGTCTGTCTACTTTACAGGACTCATGCAGTCTCTTTTGAATCTCCGAACACTGTGGTCTTTAAATGGAG